TTATATTTATTCTATCTCTAATAAAGTAATAAACACTGATTTACTCTATCTCTAGAGAACAGTTGCATGTTCTCCAATGTTTCAGACTGTTTTATGTGTAATAGGTCGATGAGTTTACCATGCTAAACATGTTACATGTCTATCTCTGTGTGAATAAAAATGCATAGTTTTATTTATAAAAACAAACATCACGAGACAAGATTTGTAATCACCAAAAGATGCCTCCTTTGAAACGTAACAGAAGTTAGTAAGAATTATAGATATATCCGTTAGAAATATTTTTTTTATAATGAATAGTGTAGATAACAATTGATAAAAGTTGGTATGAATGATGAGTGTAATGAGTGAAGGTAAAAAGCAAAGGTAAAAAAAATAGGAGGGGGAGGTGGTGTGAGATGTTTTAGTGTGTGGGAAAAACAGATGGAAGCATGCAATTCGGTAAAAAATAAAAAGTAAAAACCAAACCAAAGGCAATTTAAAGATTATTATTTGTGTTACAGTAAAACATAGATTATTTTTTCCCTTTAATGTTATGTTGATTTTAATTAAAAGTACAAACAATAAAATTATAATTAACAAAATTACAATTACTTTTCATTGAGTGAACAATCATTCTTCACCACGTGCAAATCCAACCTCCAATAAATAGTTTAGGAAATATTTGCGTGAAACATATCAAATGGGATACTCCATTAAATAAATTATTTTTGTGCTATTTGGCATTAATGACTTGGTTTAAGCGAAAGTTGCAAATACACTCTTTTAATTTACAACACAGCAAAGATTTGGCTAATTATTAGATATTAGGGACCATAAATATTAGGTATTTATTATTTATTTGTCCAATGAAAAAGCACAGAAAAGTCGACAAACTGTGTAAGTTTGTGTGAAAAATAGTTTCTGATAAAAACTAGCACTGATAAAAACTAGGTTGACAGATAATATGGGAGTTAATACAAGAAAGTTGAATAATTATCATATAACATAAGAAAGTGGGAATGAGAAAATAGTAAACTTGAATGGAGAGAGGGAAATTTCCAAGTGGAATATATTAGTTTAATTAGAGATCAAGTTTCAGAACAGTCGTTATGATCCAATTATTAGATTTAACATCTTCAGCGTAAGAAAGACCGTTACAGATGCTATAAATGTGACTAACCACAGCACATGTCAAACTTATTATTTTTACTTCATTGACTCTTTCATGTTATGCCAACAGCTTGTTCTAGAATTGATCACAAATATAGTATATATGCAACCATGTTAACTATTAACCGAATTCTACTAAATTCAAATTACTGTCTGAAAAGAAAGCAGTAAATCGTTAATGCTTCTTTTTCTCGCACCAATTGAAATTTTGAACTTATAGTATCATTCCGGTTGCTCATATTTATAGAAAACAATTTCTTTAAATATTTTGAACAAACAAATGATTAAAAACAAAATTAACAGATGTATAGAATTGAGAAGGAGAGATCTAAAGAAAGCTGTCGAAGCGAAATCGAATCGAAAATATTAGACGCGCAGATAAACATCGGTATTGAATACGACTGGTATTGTTCGTGAAGACGCGAATCTTTCTTTTTCCATCTTCCGTTTCGAGTGGAGTAGGTTCGAGTTCCCATCGGGTTTCCGAATCCTTTCTGGAATATCCTCGAGCAGCAATACGAAAAAACATGACAGCCGAGGGGCGTAGGGGTGTAACGAATATTGGCCGCACATATGCGCACTGCATTCCGCGACTTGTCAGGCCGCCTGCCGGAAGCTGGCTTCAGTTTTCTACGACATTTATTTCGCGATGTGATTCAGTGTAATCTTTATGCTGGACTCGTACAGTGTGCCGGCATCAGACGCGTTTCGTTCGTTCTCGAGCAAAATGAGCACTGCGAAAACAACGAAGTAACAAATATTCACGCGTCGAGAGCTGGCTTGTCACGGTGATCATCGATTCTGAGTCGGGAATTCTGGCTGACAGCCGCAAACGAGTGGCAAAAAAAGATAGAGAGCGCGCGGTGGACACAGAGCTGGTGGGAGAAACAACTACTCGGGGGACGTGAGCGAAATCCCGATTTGGAGAATCGTCGGGGACATTTCTGTGAGGATTCCAGTATTCAGATGAATACTCCAACGGCAATACCTTCACCGTTAAATTAATCCTCGAAGCCTGAGGATTTGCACGGCCCATCATTGGAACTATCTAAGTGGTCAAAATGATTCATAATTTTTTTTAGATATTTCACAATTACTTCGTAGCCCTGACAGTACTGCGTTCTGGGTTCACGTTGAAGACGACATATTTATAATGCTGCCTGGATCGTGTCCTCTACACATACTTACAGATTACAGATGCAGAATAGTGTATTTTTAGAAGTTTAAATTTGTTTTAGAAGTTTTAAATAATTTTTTATAAAATACATGAATAAAAGTTTGTGTATTCTATTGTATTTCTATTTTTTTTACTTTAATATCTCTGATGAAAATTCTATGCTTTAGCCTTTAGGTAGTTCTAGTGTTAATGTCTCAATCATGACGACAGCTGATTGCGAATCTCACGTGAGGCGTGGTGCCACTGCGTTTCGATAATTTATCGTTGAATACCGGTGGGATAACCAAGAGTGCAATTTTCCAGACGGACTTTTCAAACTCGGAACTGCAGTCGCTATGATAATGCAAGGTGCTCCGTGAAAAGCAAATATGAAATGACACGCGACAGGTTGTTGTTACTCGTGATTCTTTTGATGATGTATGATTTGTTCATAGTCGAGACATTCTTACGAGTAAAACAGAAGAGATAGCAAACGATAAAATTGCATTGAGAAGGAACAGGAGCAAATTAGAGTGAGTGAGTGCGAGATGGCACGGCGACCTGTCAATCTGTCATAATATTTTCAAAAATTTATATTTTCGATAATGGTCGACTGGTATGCCTATGATTGGCCTTGTATTGAGCGGGTAAATGTATGATGATTCAGTACGAATCTTTTAATAACAATAATAATTATTAATTAATTAATTATCATTATCAATTAATATTAATATTAACAGTGCGAAAGTAGTCGTAATAAATCATAAAGCAAAAAAAATAGATGATAAAAGCAAAAATATAAAAAAAAAAGAAGAAAAAAGAGACGTACCATTTCATTGGATGAACCAGCAACAAATCGTGTTCGAAACACTCAAACAGAAACACTACCCCGACTACCATATACTGTTCACATTAACCAAGGAAGTTTAGTGTTGGTAGTCTAAATGAATATTTTTGTTTGGAATAATTTCCATGACAATAGATACGACTGGCGCTTTAACGGTAGAAAAACGCATCGTCCTAACTGCAGTGAGTCCAGACTCTCCTATTCGATAGGAGGAGAGTCGGTTCGAAGATTACAAGTATCCGTAAGTTCAAAAAAGAGGAAGACGACGAGGACGATGCGTGGAAGAAGACCGAGGACGAAGACAAGCTCGATAACGATTTTTACAGTGCGAAAGAAACCTCCGCTAAAAATCTGCATTGAGACAAATGGATGAACGGAAGCGTGACAGCTTCGAAAATTTCAAATACGAATCGAGGAACCTCACTGGGTCAGTTCAACGAGAATTTACCCGGAAAACTGTCAAATCCACTGGTCAAGCGTAAAATCGCCGAAGATGCTAGTAGTCTCATGACAAGAGCATTAGCTGGAGAACAAAGCTAGCACGAAGATCAACTCTACCGAGAACCAAGCGGGACTGCGGCAGTAGAAGAAAGGAGGAGGGCAAAGGACGTTAATAATACGGTTAGTTTTCTTTTTTTTTTTCACGACTCGAACTGAAATTGGGGGACGATGTTTTCGTTCGAGATAGACGTGAAGATAATTGTGTTCGGCCTTACCGAACACAAAGAAGGTGGAGTTGGTACCGCGAAGGACGAACTCATCGGGCCAGGGAAAGCAATTTTACAATTTCTAATTTCTCGACGGCAGGGATCTCCCGTGATCATGTTCATTCCATGTCCTTCGTTACCTTGTATCTTCTATTTTAGTCATACCTGACTACCAATTCCAAGGCTCGTCATGCCCGACGCTTAATTTTAAGGCTCGATAAATAACTTTATCGCAACTTTTTTACGACATCCATAAATCCAAACCCATATTGCGAGGGACACATCCTGGGACCGTTAAAAAGTGCAGATACTACGTTCTGGGACCGACCTCGCTCACATCTGAAAGCAACTAACATACCTCCCTAAACTATAGAATCCAGCTATATAAGACCACAAGGGAAACGACAGTTAGTTCTGGCAATGAGTTGGAGTTCGACTTTTTAATTACAGTTCAGACAGGAGTTGAGTTAGTTCGAGAGTTGCATCACGAGTTCAGTTGAGTTAGAGTCAGAGTTCAGTTGGAGTCATTCGTGATAATAGTGTAGTGCTACAGTGCCAGCCCAGGTTCCCTTCATCACACAATGGATACACGAGGAAAAAGAAAAATACAAACCCAAAACGGACGTGGAAAAAACAGACACACGGCCTGCGGCCAAAAGAAAGGCCATGGAATATGTGCTCCGTCCCATAACAATAAGGAAGAGATCACCCTCACCATCAAAAATAACTAACATAGGTATGGAAACAAAACCTAATATCCCTACACAAAATAGATTCAGCATATTCGCTGACTGCCTATTGCAAGATACCGACCGAGCCAACACAGAACAAACAAACGAAGACCTTAACACTCAACCGGAAATTCCCCAGAAACCTACCAACGTAAAGCTACCGCCTATCTACTTATATGGAAACATTAATCACGCAAAATTATTAGAAGCACTAAAAACCAGCTACTACAATAGATACTACATAAAATATGTCTCTCAAAAACTTAAAATCATGTTCCATAACCTAACGGACTACAACGATTTCAAATAGGTATGCCGAAAACAAAACATTCAGTTCCACACCTTCACAGTCTCCACCGAAAAAATCCTAACAGTAGTTCTGAAGGGCCCGGTTAAGTTAAATGAAAAATAATAATAAATAACCTGAAAGCCCAAGGACTCAAAGCACTAAACTGCACGGAGCTGCCTGCACACACCAAATACCCGGTCTACAGGGTCACCTTTGCACCAGGCACCACACTAGCCAATGTAAACCATTTATAGAAAACATCAAAGTCTACTGGGAGAAGTACGAATCTAAAAGACTATCAATTCAATGTTACCACTGCCAGGCGTACGGACACTCCTCTACTAACTGCAACAAAAACGCAGTATGTGTCAAGTGTGCCGGTCCACACAACACAAAAGAATGCACCAAAAAGCCAGAAGCCCCGCCAACCTACACAAACTGCCAAGGAAACCATACGGCAAACTATTCAAAATGCCCAGTACTCATAGCCTATTTGGCCAAGAAAAACTTCTACAAGAATCAGCAACTTCAAAACACTTATTCCCCCCTCCAATCTCCCTCGCAAGCATATCCCTCCTTACCAAACGCCAAAACTCCATCAAAAACTCCCAGCCCCAACACTCCGCTGCCACCGGACACATGAAACAGACCACACTCCTACGCCAACGCACTAACGAGGCAAACACCCCCACAAGATTATCCAAGTACAAACACAAACCTCAACAGCATCATAGCTTGTTGAAGTCAAACACTCAGATCTTTCTTAGAATCCTAGAACTGATACAAAAGCACTACACCAAATGCACCTCTAACATCGAAAGAGTCAAGGCTACAATCCTTATTGTCAAGGAATTGGAAGCTGGCTACTAATCATACACTCAACCTCATGCTATGGAATGCTACAAGCATCCAAAACAAAAAACACGAACTGCAAAGATTTCTCCTCGAACAAAAAATAGACATTGCCATCATCACTGAAACTTAGCTTGGACCCAACGACAAACTCCACCTTTCTCAATACAACGTACGAAGGAAAGACTGGACTTTCGCCCTAGGTGAGCCCCGGCGAGGAGGAGTCCTGATAGCCACCCACAAAAACATCCCCTCCTAGGACTATACTCAGATCACAACCTCTCCTGTGAAAACCATAACAATTAAAATCAAAACAATACCTCCCCTGGTTATCACCGCAGTATACGTTCCTCCCAGACACAAGATCACCGCAGAAGATCTAAACCAGGTTACTCATCAAAATAAACATGTAACATATATCACTGGGGGCGACTGCAACGCTAAACACCAGGACTGGAATAACTCTACCAGGAACACCAATGGCTCTAAAAAATCACTTCCTCGCAGGCCAATATCAACTCCTTCACTCCCCCACCTACACATACAGACAACCCAATTGCAAACCCTCAAACATAGACATCTTCTTATCCAACATACAACTAGAATACTCCATCAAAACAATAGACGACCTATCCTCGAATCACCTCCCAGTAATTCTATCCATTCATACCAATCAATATCTGAAGAAAAAACGGAACACACGACACACAGACTGGAAACTATACAGAAAAATCTGCAACACGTTTCAGCTAAACCAACACATCAGCAGTCAAGAAGACATAGACAAACAGATCAACACGCTCCAGAAGAACATACACCATGCCCACTACAATGCCTCTCGACTCACCAAAACCATAGACAAAACAGGGTACACTGATCCACATTTGCAAATCCTAATAACGAATCGCAACAGACACAGAAGAAAATACCAAAAGACGGGGCACCCGCTACACAAGCTATAGAAAAACATCTTAATAACACTCATACAAAAAAGAATCAAAACCACCCGAAACAACATCTGGCAAAACTGCCTAGAAAAAATAGAGAAACCAGATTACACACTATGGCAGACGTACAAGATGACAGGACTAAAAAACTCCCCCATACCTTCGCTAAATGAACCTGCAGATAACTCCACACACTACACGGACCTAGATAAAGCAAATGCCCTTGCCGCATACTTCGCCAAAACACACAACGACGAGTTACAACCCAACACTGCAAACAATCTGATTAACCAGCCCTCCCCACAGACCACTACCACAACAAGGGAAACACTTCCACTCTCCACAACGCATATCACCATAACCCTTCACATCATACACAAAATAATCACAAAGCTACCAAACAGCAAAGCCCCCGGTCCAAACAAGATCACAAACGACGAACTAAAAAATCTTCCTAAAAAAATCGCGGTGCAAATATATTACATCTTCAAAGCATGTCTCCAACTATCATACTTCCCCAAAACTTGAAAGCTAGATAAAATTCATCCGATTCCCAAACCCGGTAAACCAACCACAGAAGCCACCAGCTACAGGCCCATCAGCCTGTTAAACACACTAAGTAAAGTACTAGAAAAATTCACCACCATCTCCTCGAGCATCTTAACAACAACATAATTACACCACAGCAATTTGTATTCCGTAAAAAGCACTTGTGTATTAATCAACTACAAAGAGTTACGGAATACACCACAATAGAACTAAACAAAAATAGGATAACACAACAGATACTACTCGACCTCGAGAAAACGTTTGACACGGTCTGGCATGAGGCCCTACTGTACAAACTACGAAAAATCAGAACTCCCACCCCAATCATCAACATTATCGAAAACTATTTACAAAACAGACAATTCTATGTATCAGTACAAGGGACCAAATCAGACACTCGGATCAACGCTTTTCTGTATATACATTAACGACATTCCCACCACCACTAACACCCAAACCGCCATATATGCGGACGATACTGCCATATACGCGTCATCATGGAACCCGACACAGGCAACGAAGCCACATCAACCCACATCAATGCCATACTTGAATACACGAAAAAATGGAGACTAAAAATTAACCCAAAAAAGACTCAGGCCATCACATTCTCCCGCAGACCCCTGCAAGTCACAGCTAAAGTGCTGATCGATGAACACTCCATCCCATGGACCAATACGGCCAATTACCTAGGAATAACACTAGACAATAAACTCGCATGGGCTAAAGCCATAGAAAAAAGAACTGCTCTCACATACTCAGCAGTATTCAGGATATATAGCCCGAAATAGCAAACTCAAGAAAAACATCAAAATCTTACTGCGTAAGACCAATAATTCTTATCTAACATGCGTAAGACCAATAATTACTTATGAATATCAAATCTGGACCTCTGCTGCCAAAGCACATATCAACAAAATACAAATCATACAAAACAAATTCCTTAGAATCATTCTCAATAAACAGAGGGACACAGCTGTAGCACAGCTCCATTAATTAGCCAACATCTCCACGATCAAGCAGTATATGCAAAACTCACTATCCGAGGCCTACAACACCATCAAAACCCCCTCATCAGGGAAACAGGCAACTATCAAGTCGAAAACCACTCAAGTCAAGGTCAAATTACCTAAATACACATTAACCTAACAAACCAAAACCTTCAGATTCAAACTGTATCAGGGAACCTGCAGGTTATTTGAAACTTTTCCTGCAAGCCTAACTTCACCTCACCTTGCAAACAAACCACATAAATATCCACAAACTAATAATATCAATCTTTATGCAAGTTAAAGGGCACTCCAGGCCCAGGGTACTGCAGACGAGACATCCTGATTAATTAAATAAAAAAAAAAACGACAGTTAATGTTTTGACAATCGCACAGTGCGCACACAAGTTTCGGAGCAACCCAACGACATACCACAGGTCAAGGCTCGACTATCAAACTCACTCAAATTTTATCAATCTTCCTCTTACGACAATTTACATTCCTTAATCCTACCAATCTAATCTTAAAACAACTCTATCTTGAATCAGCTGACTTTCATTAATGTTGAAAGACAGCAAGCCACCGATCTGCTCAACGCTACTTATACGTCGAAGTCAGATCGGCACGCTTCAAGTTGGATCCGTTGAATCGAACGAAGAGAGCGTGATATCAGCAGCATCTTGATTAGCAGGCAATCGAGATCGATGATTAATGCTGGACGGACGAGGAATTCCTGTTCTCGGCTACCCAAACAGATTTACGAGCGTTGTCCCCACCAGTTGGTCACGTAAGATTAGGTAGAGTCCGGGACAAAATGATACGCCATCCCTCATATGTGCTCGGTTCTGAATACACACGAAAGATAATACATATTTAGTACACCATGTATATATTTTATATTGTACATAAACACACGAAAAATCAGGAACTTGGTTTGTGAATGTTGTCGAAAGAAATGTAAATACGAGCTGATGCAAATGGAACAAAATGATACGATAGACTGTATGAAACATACCTGCAGATTGGTTTAGATGGTTCATCAATATTTCGTGATCATACCTTTCCTCTTGTTCCATCAATTAAACGCTTTGAAATTGATTTATATAATTTTCTAATTTTATTTTGTGGCAAATCATTCCATTTTTCTATTATTTTTAATTAATTCTTGAATGTTTGAAACTATATTCCTCCTGTAAACTTTCGTAGATAAGTCTGCCTATACATTTTCTGTAATATTTATGAACCTTGTCGGCCAGTCCAGCGACATATTTCCTTAATTGTTCGTCAATAAAAATATATTTTTGACTATTCATTCTGCTGCAAATGAAACTTATTTTTCCCGTGCTCATAGTATAATTCCTCCTTCTTCCATTTGTCTACAATTTAATATAACATCCTTCTTTTTTAAATCATAGAAGTAATAGTTATTGTAATTCGGACTCTCCAAATTGAACTTTTTCTAGTCGCTAAATATTCCTCCATTGTTTCTTCTAATGTATATGACTCGTGACAAATTCTAAGCATTTCTCTTTATGCTATGTTGAAGAAAGTCAGTGTTTCAATATCTGAATGCTTATAACTTTTTAAAACACGTAATATGTTCTTTTTTATAACGTTTCGAATGCTTATAACTTTTTAAAACACGTAATATGTTCTTTTTTTTTTTATCATTAGTCGTGCTGCCTTCGCAATTTCTCTTCCAGTTTTTTTAGAGTTAGAAGCTTCACGTACAATGGCTCCTTTCTATCACTCTGTTAGCACGGATGTGGACGTCCATTAGATTTTTTTTCCTTGAATTATCAGACTTTTTTAACAAAGCAAGCAGTACACGATTTCGATTAACTAATTTCACAATTTTTGAAATAGAATACCTCTGAGATCGAAACAACGAAATTCTATAAATTGCTCTTCAGATCCTTTGCTCGATTCAGTTTTGAACTAGAAATGAATTGAAAATAATGCACTCCACACTGCTTACGATTATACTCGATACGTTTACTCTTGTTAATGCTTCAGCAACAACTAACGAGGATCTGAAAATATACATGCGACGTATAATTTTGTCCCACTAGAAGGAGCTCGTACATATTTACATTTCTTTTCATAACATTCGTAAACCAAGTTCCGAGAAACTGATCTTTTTGTGTATTTACGTACAATGTTAAGTACGATATACACAGTGTACTAAAAATGTGTATTCTAAACTGAACATACATGAGCAGTAACATATCTTTTTGTTCTGCACTGTACTTCCCAGTCAACTGATCGAGTTTGATACTGTCATGATTGTGATAACAGTTTGCGCGAGAACCGCACGATCGTCCGAAGCGTGCGCGGCACAATATTGCAGTTCATTTGCAATGGAAAATTTCTGGAGAGAGTTCCATCGATGGAACTGGAAATCGTAAAGCCTTGTCGGATTCCTTCGGCATTGTCCACGAAAATTAAGATCATCGTGACGCGATTTTACAGAGCAGGATTACACAAGTTTGTCGCTACAGGAGAGAAAATCCTTATCCCCTCTCCTCTTAGACCATGGGCGCTATTTGTGTCATAGTTACCAGCGTCTTCATTTTATTTTCTTTCACAAACGTCTCGAAAATGGAAAAGAAAGAGGAAGGCATTTGTCTCATCTTCTTTTCCCTCTGTGAGACTACGAGACACAATGTAGTGATCGTTCAACGATCTTCGTTCCACGCCAGAGACTTGTCCATCGACTTTCATATCGGAGTGCATCGGTGCACAAGATCGCGACAATTAGCCTTTTGTAATTCGGCCTTAGATAATAGAATTCGCCAGTTCGAGTAAGTGCCAGACACTTTTATATCGGTTCGACCTCTCGATGGCCATTCGAGTCTTGTCCTTGACTGATAATCTGCTTCTCAGAAGTATTTTGAACTCGTTGCACTTTCTTGAACCACTGCATGGCTCGTTATTAACGTCAGAAGGACGAGGACACAAGACAGAGACGAGACGAAGTACGATAAAATGCAGTTCCTCTTACTTATTGAGGATCTTGATTAGGTCAACCTTGGAATTGCAGATGGCAACTGACTGCAGACCGCCTTTAAAATTGCCGATGACCTCGGAGATACCACATGGTTGCTGGGCGCCGTTTTTCATTACCGCACTCTGGCACGAATTCGATATTGCGGTCTTTGTCAAACTCGATCTGCTCCGCGCACAGGGTGTTAATCAATGAATTGATTCTTTCACTGATATCGCCACATCGAAAAATCGCTAAAAAGATGTGCCTAACATACTAATAAATCTTTCTTTACTTTTTGTGATTCGTAGTTTTTTGAAGAAAACGGTGAAAATGTCAATGAGAACGCACATGCATGACGATGAATTTAACTTGAAACAGCGATCCTTGAAGACGGTTATCTTGCAGAGGGCGATAATTTAAATTAAGATCTTCCGCTGCGCAACACGTAATTGCTTTTCCTTGACATCCTCTGAAAACAATTGAACGATAAAAATTTCTTATCCAACATCTTACGAAAGTAAAATCATCCATGTATTAGGTTCTAATTGAGTATCGTACGACGATAAAAATCGTTCATATGATCGACTGATATTGTCGGTCGGACAAAATATCGAATCAATCAATAACGATTAATTTCAAGATGTTTTTGACAAACCTTTTGTCAACCAATTTATTCCACAAAGCAGGCTGTTTCTTAAAGCTTATATTTCTTGGACATAATGTCTCTCTTTTACTCTAAGCTTCCTGTTTTCACTAGTATCATGTCACTTCTTCCTGTTACCTTGTTTATGCTCTCTATTTTCACCTTTCCACCGATTTTTTTTTCCAGTATCCTTTTTGCTACCTTTGCCTTTTCCTTTTCGTTCCAATTTATTCCTTTTATTGTAATATTCCTTCTCCACTCTTCTCTCTTCTTTCTTTCTAACTTTTTTTCTATAGCAGTAATCCTACTCTTTACCTCCTGTCCCTTTTTCGTCTCTCTCTTCTCTCCCCTTCTTTTCCCTCTATCACTCTCTTTCTTTCTTCCAGCTTACACATTCTTTCTTTAACCTCATTCGCTCGTCTATCTTTCGCATTTCTTCCTTTATTTCATTTTTGAGTTTCCTCATCTCTACTCCAATTTTCTTTTCTACACAATCGCCTAATCCTTGAATCATCATCTGCTGCTGCTGCCCCATTTCCTGTATCATATTTTTAAGCTCTTCTACACCCGCCATCTTTTTTTCATTTTATTCTTTCCCTGTTTTAGTGATTCTATCTCTTTATTTTCCTTATCCCACTCATACTTAACCTCTCTCTCTCTCTCTCTCTCTCTCTCTCTCTCTCTCTTTCTCTCCCTTTAATCGCGCTCACGCATACTTCGCGTCGCTTGNTCTCTCTCTCTCTCTCTCTCTCTCTCTCTCTCTCTCTCTCTCTCTCTCTCTCTCTCTCTCTCTCTCTCTCTCTCTGCTTCTATCCTTCTTCTGCACTATTTATCTAAACCTGCTTCACTGCTCTCCGCTCCTCTCTTCTTTTCTTCCACAAATTTCTCCACTTTTATCCCTCCTTTTATATTCCTTAATTCTCTACTTCCTCCCAATATCTTCTTTATCGACTAAGCTCACTTTCTTATTACCGATCCCCAGTAGACGGCACTGCTTTCGTTTCTCCAACCCGCTATTTTCTAACCTCACTTTCTTTCCTTTTTAATTTCCTTCTCACGCCTGTTTTCGCTTTAACTTCTGTCCTACTTCCTTTTCTCCCTAAACTCAAACCTGCTCCTCTCTACTTCCACCTCCCAATCCTTGTACAATCACTCTTTTCCTTCTGAAACTACTCAAAATTCACTTCCCTTTCTCTTACAGTCACCACTCGTAAAATTCAGCATCCAGTCACTGCTGTTTTTCTACTTTACAAATTAATAACTTCGAGAAATTACTTATTTCTGTTAGAACTGTTATACACTTTCGAGCAAAACCAAATTCGACAAACAAGCTCGTTATAGCTTGTTAGTAAAGTTACGTATCGTGTGTATACTTGCATTTGATTAAGTACATTTTATTCATCGTAGCGGTCCCTCGTATTTCTGAAATCATTGGTGAGCGGCAAGGTGAGAATCGCGACAAAACAAATCAATGTAATGTAATGAAAGTGTTTACAGTGGAGCGGCGAGGAGAACTGCGAAGAAAGCGGCGTATAGTAACGGTATGGCTAGAATCAAAAAAGTTTGTTTCTACTAGCGGAGATCAACGCGTTCGGCAACATTCGGATGCATTCGGATGCATTCGGTAGTATTCTATCGCATTCAATAGCATTCAATTGAAGATCAAAGTATTTATATATCTATTATTTCTGTTTTTTTATTATTTATTATTTATTTATTTTTTTATTATTTCTATTATTTATTACTTTTTTCTATCTTCTGATCTTGCTAATATGTGATATTTAATTTGCAATATTTTCTACAAGCACGAGCTTTTGTTGCTTCCTCGAAAATATCTTGAGACATATTGAGAAGAATGACTTGCTGTAGCATTTCGCTCCTCGGTTTTCTCCGCGTCACTATAAACACGCATCGCATCGCTCTACTAGCCTCACACAGTTCTCCTCTTTATTCACAGCTCTTCTCGCCGCTTCACTATAATCTCGTACTAACTGTAAGATTCCAGAATGTCAAGATTTTAATCTTTGCAACCAACTAGGAGATGATTTCATTTGAAAAAATGAGACGAAAAGAAAGTATTGAAGCTCAGATAGCTTCAAGAAACGAAAAAACCGTGGTCGAAACATTCTCCAATTAATCGCGAGACGGTTATCAACAATCGTAATTAAATATACAAAAATCTTTCAATTTAAGACGTTAGACTTTTTTATTAGGATGAAGAAGTTATTCGGTAACTCCAGACTATTTTATACATTTTTTCATGCTGATAAAAAGTATTAACGGCCACCGCGGTCGATTAATACCTTCTGTTGTCATTTCCAGTTGGCGGGTCTGTTTTGTTTAGGGTTTTCAGGGACAGTTGACATCGGATCAATATCATTTTAATTAATGTTTTGTGTTTCTTTAAAATGACATTAATACGTATATGTAATACATACAGATATATACGAATATTAATTTTATTAGACTCTGCGAAACAATATTTACAGTTGGACAAATTATAATTTAATTATCAGATTGGTCGTTCCGCTGAATCTTCACGTATGTGCTGTTGGGTTAACGATATATCATCAGAATGATCAGGTCTTCTGCAATTTATCTTCTCTTCTCTGTATTTTGTTCGTATATTGACGTATCTCTGAATGCTCTTTAGATGAAACTAGAAGAGATAAGATCACTATTCACAAAATTGAACATTTATACGTGAGAGTAGAATTTGTGTGAATCTTATACGCAATTGGATAGAAATTTAATTTATTTATTACTAATAAAATCTACGAATTTAACTGTTTTTTCATAACAGGCATTAATTTTTTATCATTGCAGCAATCTGTCATTATAAAACAAATTAAATTCAGAAAATGAAAAATGAATGAAGTTATGTCATTTTAATGTGACAATTTCTAACATACTCAAAAAAATACCTGTTCGATATTTACCTATGAATATGTACCTAAATTTGTGAATCGGAAGAGAGCACGCAAATGTTTAAATGTTTCTGCTTTGTCTTATCTTTTCCGGTTGACGTAACCTTAAACATAATATAGTAAAATCTCTCTTATGTATCTCTGTTTTTCAAACATCTTATTATACGAATATTATATTATCAGAATAAAATGTAACTGGAATTAATATAACTAATTTCTAATAACTAGAAGTAATACCTGTTACTTAGATATTCTGTTCTAATTCAAACATTAATTCTAATTCTAATATTAATTCAAATTCTATATCCACTTGAGAACAATTTGGTTTATTATCCGATGAAACTTTCTGAATTATGTTCACTGTGGAATTTAATTTGATCTAATTTATTCAAGCAAAAGGAAAAAGATTCTTTACTGTAAAGGATATGTAGACAGTATATAATACATACATTAACTATCCGTCGGTTCTGTCAACGTGATATATTTTTCTTATTAAATGTTATATTATTTTCATCACGTATAGGGATGGGACCAGAGTTGGACAGTAATGGATAACTTTGTAATCATTTCTGTAATCAATTACTAAATAGCAATTATAATAATCGACATCATTAATTAGTTAATCATTGTTAAAGTAAATCACTAATCTTGATTAATTTTTGTAATTTGTAATCAGTAATTTTTATATTTTATCACATTTGTAGCAATCTAACGCTGGAGGAATTCCTCAACAAGATGGTTGCGAAGAACGTTAGCAAGGACATCAAGCTAGAATTCAAAAGCATCGAGGCTTTTAACACGAATAAACCTATCTTGGAAAAATTTTGCAATAACGTACCGACTTGTGCCAGTGAATGCGACCGCCATGCTAGTCAAGGCAGAATCTTTCCTGACTAAAGCCAGAGCGTATGTAAAGTAAGTATGCTGTCGGTCGGTTGAACCACCAGGTGAGAATGATGAATTCCGACCAGTTTAAAATTCCGTGGAATGTTTCGAGATCTCATCGATTCGCGTTTCAGGTACAAGGCTAAGGACAATGCCACCGAAGGTCGATATACAGAAAAGAAAATTTAGGAAATGATCAAATCCCTGAAGAAGCAGAAGATTATTCAGTCGATAATTTATCCAGTCCGGCGTATAACATCCAGGTGATCAAGTCGTTGTTGGAGAAGAGACACGAAGAACGCAATTCTGATCGTTTGATCGAGCAAGAGTGAGTCGACGCTGACACGAGGTTGGATTGAACAAGGTGTTCGTTCATGTGCCGCAAGATTGTTAAAGAAGTTCTGTTTATTAGGAGAGTCAAGCATCAGCATCATTTCTCTCATAGTGATAGTAGGAGATTACTTTTAAAAATACCGATAGCATTGAGCAGTGATGTCACTTTATGTTAGGAAACGTATTTCTAATGTTATTATAGAAGAAAACGCTACTGTTTCACTACAATGATCGTGGGTTGTCTATCGTGGTTTGCGATTCGTTACAGAAAAGTTAAAATATTAAAGTCGTAATATTGAATATTAAAATACTATAAGATTCGTCAAGGTACGAGAGAGTTCCTCAAGTGTATCTTTCAATAGCTTAACTGAACTAACTTTATTGAATTTTAGATTTCTTATACAGAGTATTATCTCGAAGTTTTCCCAGAAAGGACAAATAAATTTGGTTGTGATACTTCCTTCACACTTGTGGTCATCTTTGTCTTTGTCTAATCACCGCTTTTCTATCGATGATATTGTGAACGGTTTGAACAATTCTCGTCGGGTTTCGTGTATGCTTATGGGACTTGAAGGATGAAGGAAGGATCTTATGTCTTCTTCCGTCGCCGCGGAATTTGCCCCTCGACGAAGAAAAGAAGCAAGATTGATAAAACGCGAGTAGAATCGTCAAAATTTCAAAGCCAAAATTGTTCTTCTCATGTTAAACGATTAAATTCTCCAAAAAGTCTAAAAAATTCAACGAAATTCTTTTGAAACTGATATTCGATATCGTTGGATTTCACCCGAAACAATTGAAATCTCATTTTTTCAAATCTCATTTTCATTTTGTTTCATCAGAAAAAATATTTTATACCTTTTAATCGGAAGGAACTGAGCCACTCTATATAATAACGTATGTATATATAATTATTACAAATTTGTAAAAAAAGAAAGAAATTAAAAATATACTTTTTAAAAGCAATGGGGAAATCCTTGGAACACCTCCAAAAAATAGTAAAAAGTGTAAAATAGTTTCATATCAATATCTCAATCTGTTTGGAAGATACAGCGCTTTAAAGTTTATATATAAGAGTTAAAACTGTAATCTATATTTTTTCCTGGAACTCTGTCTGTCACTTATTATCACTTTAACTCACAATCACTGTGTGATAGATCAGTGACGAGCTACGCGAAAGAGAGGAGGCAAACAAGGACAGAGATAGAGACTGGCCAAAAATTACCTTTCCCTTTACACGATGATATCTCAAGAACCAGAAATCGTATCGAGATGAAACAGAAACCGTTTTAAAGGGAAATATTCAGCGCTTCTTACAACATTTTTACTAGAAATTATCAGCAACTTTGGAATTATGGTTACATAAACTTTTGGTATTTTTAATAGATTTTATCATATATGTATTTTGCTCGTAATTAGGATAAATATTTCGAATATTTGGACTATCATGGCTTAGAATGAATGTATATTTAAAGTCACGAAAGTTTAAAATTAGATTATGAATGTTTATTCAAAATTATATTTTTGTTAGCATAATTAATTAAATATTCATTTTGCTTATTAAATATTAATCTCCAAAATTATAAGAACAACTGATAGAACTAACAACAAATAAGTTCAATATTAATTGAAATTTAAATTTAAAGATGGTTACCAAAAGCAGCTAACTACATTTTATATGTCATAGTACAAAAGATTTTAATTGTATTTTCTCTATCATATTCAGTAGATTCAGTGCAGTCGCAAATCTGTTAACTAGAAAAAGAAACTGTAAATAACCAATCGTAATGATTACTGCTGACAAAGATTATATTGATAATAGCGCATCAGAATGATAACAGCAGATCAGAATTATTTTTAATCTTATTCGCGATTTTTATTTTAATATTATCTTTCGTAACTTTCCGTATATAATGCAAATGTTATTATAGTCAATTTCAATAAATTATTTTATAATTTTCAATTTCAATGTTTTATTTGCAGTAATAACTTTTCTTACTATGTTGAAGTGTTATATGTTTTTTCACGAAGTTATAATGAGACCTGTTTCAACTATTTTTTATTATTTATTATTTATTATTAAATAAAAATTTGCGCAAATTATCCGAGTATTTGACATTTCGGAGTTAAATCGTTTTGGATGATTTTGATCGAGTTAGAGTGAATACCTGAGACTCAGAGACAACAAATACTAAACCACATGAATTCATATACCTTGTCTGTGACTAAACTATCACTAATTTTTCATTTGTCATTCTGAAAATCGTGATGACAATCGTTGAAAGCGATCGAATTTTGAATTCGTATAAAATTTCAATAAATTATGTTAAAATATGTCATTAAATTTTTGACAAAACTGTAAAGAAATTCTGTAGTATACAGAACCCACTTGGTAGTAGAGACATAAACACGGGGTGTAGAGGACTATAGTTCCTAAAAAAAAAAATAAGGCTATTGTTTTATGTGAAACAAAACGATGATCAGCAGGAGAGACTGAAAAGGCAATTCGATGTGAGCTCTCAAACGATTTGGGCGAATCATAATTCCTTTGAATATATGTCAATTATATAATTTATTTTACAAAATCATTTTTTACAAATCCATATTTTATATTAATTCCTGCGCAGTGAATGCCAGATTATTATGTCTGCTTAACTGTAATAGATATGTGTGACTGTTGACGTGAAATTCAACTTAATATACGTTTCCCGAAAAAATTTCTCTAGATTAAATGATTGGAATGGAATTCAAATGATTGATCTTTAGTTTTTATGCTTTATAAGAATATCGACAAAAATAATAGAAATGTTGTAAAAATGATTTTTAAAAAATTCTTTCCACTTTCAATGAATATACGTTTTGATGCGATTTTAAGTAATGAAAATAAATATAATAAAAATAGTGTAAAATTATCTCGAGCATTTTCATAAAAACAAAAATCAGATATATTTTCATTTAAAAGCCACATCCTGTATAAAATTTGAAGTATTTCAAGAAATATTAATCTTTTTTCGACATTGTATCCTAATATTTTTTTATATACACAATAGCACGTAGAAAATTCTATTGTAAAAAAGAAAATTATAGAGATCTATTAAATAAACAATTGCTTTTATGAGCTTCTTAAATAATGTCTTGTTATTATTTATAATAATGTCTTTGCATTTATTTATTATGATTATTATATGTACATACATATGTATGTTTGTTCGTCACTAGATTCAATGTCATTGGATTCATTTCAATAAATAATTTTCGATGAGGAAACGGCTATGTGAACACTGTCCACATTTTTTTATTTTAATTTCTATCACCAACAGCGCTGTAGTGTATAAAGGTGCGACATGTTGAAAATTAGTGCACGGAGCCTACTTTGGAGATGCTTACTTACCAATCCAAAAAATATTTATCGATTCGTTGCTTGTTGTATAATGTTTCGACTACTACGACAAGCATTCCTAATGATACGTATTCTGAACAGAAGTTTCGTCACAAACAACGGCATGGTGGTTTGCCTAATAATTTTAAACTTGAACATCGTAAGTCGGAAAAGAACACTAACACTAGATGAACTTTAACACTCTACTCTCTTGCTATTTCCCTCGTTTCAGATCATTATCATGGATATTAGAAAGACTGCTAAGTAATGACACAATTGTTTGCTCGTGTGCGGATCGATATCGTTACGACGATGACGTGTCTATGGAATAGAAATGCGCACAATCGAACAGTATTAAATTAATATTCTAAAAGAAAGAATTGTATTTCTAGGAAGGTCAAGGATTTTTCACTAGAATTCCTTCAAAATTTGAAATTCGAATGCGTTTTCTATTTTGATTTCTTATAGCTTTCAGATAATATAAATTATTTTTAACTTATATATTGGTTATATATTTTTAACTTATAACTCATTTTATCATACGAAGAGTACGTTCATATGATACGTTAATAATTGATAGATTGTGGTGGGCTGTGAGAATTTTGTATATCCACAGGATGTACTGAAAACGAAAGAACAAAGTTGTGAAAGAAATTTTTTAATAAAAATTATTTGGTTCATAGGAGGACGTCGTACGTGCAAATTATTTTTTTGCAGGTAGGAAAGCTTTATTTTTTAAAATAAAGTCATATAATTTTGAACGCAACAATCGATTTATCTGGATATTTTTTTATAAAATTAATTTAAGTTCATATCGAGAAACCACTAGAAGATATTTTAGCCTATCATATGATAGACGAAAGATAGGAACGGTATTCTTCTATTCATTTGTGTTCATATTGTCTTTCATGCAATAAATTTCACAAAAGCAGTGCTAAAATATTTCCTAAATAGTTTTTCAATACAAATGATTTAATACTTTTTAAACTATGCTACTTACAATAATTTAATAGCTTAATAGGTTTTTATAGGAATAGTCCAGATAAATCGAATGTATTTAAAATTATACGGTTTCATTTAAAAGAAGAAAGAAATTAATTTACGAAATTTGTCCATCTACAAAAATACCATTAATAACATAATGTGCCTCTTTTATTTAAAATACCATTTATAGAAGTATTTTTTTTTATAACTTCAATTTCTTATAAGTGATATTGCATTGTACTCTGAAAAACAGGATAATGACAACGGAACTAGAAAAATCACTACTTTAAATGGGGCAAAATATCACATCATGGGAGGCGACATCAATGCGAAGCGCCACTATGAAACAACCTAAACAAAACACCAATGGAGTTACCGTCAAAAATCACGCCGAAACCAGATCTTACACAGTCCCACATGCATGCATAGACAATCAAATACAGATTCATAAATATAGTCCTGTCCAACATAAACACAAAAGCAGAACAGTAGATGACCTCTTCTACCAATATTGCTAACTATGGCTACAAGCAAGAACATAAAACACCAAAGGAAAATCGAACACTAGAACCTATACAGAAGAAACTGCTACTTAGCAGAAATTAATCAAAACATAAACAGCTGAAGATGTGGATACAGAGACAATGAAACTCCCAAATCAGACAAAACTCCTACTGTACACCCGCATCAGAAACATAATGGACACACTCTTAGAAAACCTAGTAAAGAACAGAAACAGACATAGAAGAAAATTCCAAAGAACCGGAAACTGCACCGCACCTACTCACGACACAAATACAAAAAGGAATCACAGAGTTAAGAAATAAAAATTAGCAGCACAAACTAGAAAACGTAAAGATGCACACAGACCACACGCTCAGGCAAACATATAAGATGAAAGAAAGAAAATAATATGTGAGAAATGCACAGACACACCAAGAAGACTATACCCACTCATAATAAACAATAACAAACTAAAAACAAGTATAAAACTTGCACTCTACAAGACATGTATAAGATCCGTAATCACTTACGGACATCAAGTGGGCTGCTGCAGCCAAACAAAGTCCAAAAGATCCAAAATAAATTCTTGAAAATAATCCTAAGTAAACTATATGACACACCAGTAGCAGAACTCCACGAAATAGCAAAAATGCCCACAATCCACAACTATATTCTGGAACAGACAACCTAAATCACCCAAACTCACTTGTGAAGAATACGGGAAATTATAACACAGATAAAAATCAAAATCAAATTACCCAAGCACGCACTCACAGCGTAGGGAACACGAAGAAACAGAAGAAAACATATACAGAAAATGCAAGTTTTTTTAAAACTTTTCCTGCAAATCCCATCAGAGGAACAACAAAACTAAACTACTTTTTATTAACGCAGAGTCGTAAAATAGGGCCAGATAAGCTTCAGAAACTGTTAACAACAGGATACGGGAAAACATAAAAAAAAATCGCGACAGTCAGTAGTATAGTACACAATAGCAACAAGTTACGATGTAACGAAGACGCGATCATGGATTCCCAAAATGGATAATTTAAAAATTTAAAAAAAGTAGAATCTACTGTGTGTTACATTTATTATAATACTAGTTAATTTATATATAGGTAACTATGATATATTGATATCTATTTATATATGAAGTTTCGCAACGAATATTTATCAATGCGATTTTCATGCATTTATCGAAAATTTGAAGATGCAAACATATACAGGGTGTCCCAGTATATTAAAGAAATTGCTTTCTAGGATCTATTTTTTTTAATTACGTACAGAAAAATTTGAGAATAAAACTCCACAATGTATTTATCAAATCATTACAAAAGTAGATATTAATATGATTCGATTCATCGCGGTGGTTATAACTGTTTTAAATATTTTTGAATTATTTAAAGATGAATTTGTCGAAAGATCTATTTTGGACTTTGAGGGGACTTTCTTTAATCACTTTATTATAATGCAAATAAAATAAATATCGATCAGACCGCAATAAGCCTAAATATAATAAATAAACAAAAACAATTTGAAACAAATGAACATACTACAATAATATAACTTGTTTCCTTGTGCAGTTAAAGATTATAACGGTTCGAGTATGAAATATATATTTCATACAAATAAGAAAATGTTTCATTTCATTAAGAAAATTGTAAAGGAGAAAGTTCATTTATCTAAATGTGGCGTTATGCGTCATAGGAAACATAAGTAATAGTAAAGTAATAGTTTTAAGTGATTGCGATCATTCAAGAAGACAGCTTTTTACATTTTATTCATCGAAAATTATCAATATTCTACGTGTGCTTGTAGAAAGTCATTGCATCAAATTCCAAAATAATTTAATTCAATTAATTAAATTTCGTTATGACGATATGTATATATATCCTCAAATGTCAAGTAGATATAACATTATTAACTTCATTTATTTACATAATAAACGATAATTGTTTCTATAAAATACATACTTGAATATTCAAGATTCAATATTCACGGAATATTCAAGGAATAATTCAAATCAACTTTATTTTTATTTTATAGATATAAAAATGAAATTTTTACTTTTATTTCATATAAAATAAAAGAACATTTTATTGTGTAAATTGTTCTAGAGAATACAATAACATTATTATATTATTGTACTTAGAATACAATAACATTATTATATTATACAATAACATTATTATATTATACATGTATATAATAATTTTTATGTCTCTAACTATTTATAATAATACTTTTCATCAGACTGCTGTATTGTATCTCGTATTGCAAAGCTGTACATGAGACTTGGAAATTTAAGGATAGTTTTACTTGCAGTTTCTATTTGTGTTTTATTTTACTATTTTATGATACAATATTATACAACACAATATTTTTATAATACAAGTATTATAAATACAGTATTTTATAATATAATATTATACAACATTATTGAAAATAATGATAATTTACGCTATTAAACTTACATTCTGCTATAATGTTTAAAGTCTCATTTGTGAATGTGACTGATTTATTTGATAGCAAATTTTGGCTCAATTGCACCATAATCACTAAATAAGTTATTATCAAGTATTGACACTGTAACAAGCATATGAATCAATTTTTAACGTATCCTACAAAAGACAGACATTAAGTATATAAAATGGTACCAACGTCACGAACGAAGTTATAGTTTAATATATAATAAACCGATTTTGTATTCTCAAGTTGCGTGTATGATATTTGCCATAGAAATTGGAGGATCTATAAAGAGATCAATTCTTAATTTTATTTTGTCAAGATAATTCCATTTAGTGTGCGAAATGGTAAAGTTCCAATTTTTTACCTCATTCTTTAATTTTGCGCTTTCTCGATACAGAGGAGATGCGTGAATGAGTCCTATCGTCTTGCTCGCCTGAAAATCGATTAAGTCAAACATTAAACTTATTGCTTTAACAAGAACTCTAACAAATAAAAAATTCATCTTTAAAAAGTTTATTCATTTAATTTTATAATCAGTCAAACTATAACTTTATCTTGTGTTCTAACATAATTATTTAAGTTTACTGTTATTCTTAATTCTATTGATATCTTCGAATATTTTGTGATAATCTCGTTTTAGATTCAATTGCAGAAGAAATTTTTAATGCTTTCGAATAATTTTTAGCATGCAATCGGAATGAAATGTTAAAAGCGTTCGTTTGATATTTCCCTCGAATTTAGACACTTCTTAATACGGATGGAAATGCGTGATTTTTGATAAAAATTGATTCAACGAACACAGTAGATTAAAAAAAGTGAGAAATAAAGTTTTCACCTGTCTCATTGCACATTCACAATCATAGCTCATTGCAGCGATTTTCACGATAGCAACAATACCGTCGAGCATGAATATCAATATCAAATCAAACAATTCCAAGAGATTAGCCTTTCTGCGGATTTCCATGTATATGAAGTAGGTTGTTATGCTAATGTACATCAGCATCGTAAACGCATATATTAATATTTGAGCATTGAATATATGGTTCACCATTTTCGAGACGTTACACACTTGCAGATGCAGGAACCTTTAAATTCGTGAATTTTTTGATCCTTTTATTTGTTGAAACATTTAAAATAAAACGCAGTGGCAAACGAGAAAAAAAGTTTAAGGAGTTACATACTTTTGATAAAATCAGAAAAATCGATTTTCTAAAAATTGTATATTTTGTTATTATGATTATTTAAGAATACTTTAAAAAGTAATTAATTTTTTAATTCTTTCGTCTATCTAACAGACAACTATGACATTAAAAAGCATTTTTCTCGGGATGAAATTTTCAAAATCGGTACTAGATTATATTTGAAACACTCTCGAATCAATTTGATTAATATTCTCAGGGCTTGATAGAGCGAAACTTTAATCCATGCGTTCTTCTTTCTTTCTTGTTATTAACAAAAGAATTGAACATTCAGACGAAAATGACATGTTCAAGCTTAGATAGCTGTCATTCCTTAAAAAATGTAATTTTATCTCCAAAAAAACTTTTCAAAAAAATTTCTTTATCTTGCAACTATTCAAAAATATGTAATCCCTTAAATAGAAAATTCAAGTTTATAAATGTCAGAACATTTCTAATAATAATAATTAACTTTTTTCAAATATGCATTTTAGTTTATGTTACTGCATCAATCACATATTCATTAATATAGCAATGATTATATCAAAACAAAGATTTTTAAAAAATTCAACAATTCAAAAACGTAAAAATTCAACAATTACAAACTTTGTATGTAAGTAAAAATTCACGTTCAATACAGATCTAATTCTTTTTCGTGCCATAAATTTGTTCTACGAAGTGAAATCAGATGATAAGAGATATCGAGAAAAAGTTTAAATGAAAATTGTATCATTCTTGTTCATTGTATCACATTTACAATACTGCTTTAAAGTTTTGAAAAGAAGTTTTTCAAAAAATCTACATTTTTCAACTTACTTCCACCACGAATCCTTGAAACTGTATTTTTTAATTTTACAATATAATTTAAACATATGCCATGTAATCCCTTATGGTAAAGTTATTCTGTGCTTTTTTCATACTACCTGATTTTTAACCTTCATTATCCATCACTGTAAATTTATCAATTGGATATTTGTTTACCTGATTTGTTGAATCAAACGGGCCTTTTCGTCAATAAATAATCCTTGTTTAAAATTGGAAGTATCGTCCGCCGAAGATACCTGTAATACTACTAGAGAACGATTGGGTAACCATTCGTCAGCTTCCAATTGATTTTGGGAATTGTCACTTGTTTCGCGAATAATCTTCCTGTTGGATTCCTTGTTTTTCGTTTCATTGTTCTCCAAGAGAGACGTTTCCACAAGCTCGTTTATCATTTTAAACCGCGATTTTAGCCAACTGCAAAGTGATTCAGATCAGTTTAATTTCATAGACAATGACAAAATTATTATTTACACGCAACGAATATTTTATTTTATTTTCATTGCTTTCGTACAATATGGTTGCGTTGTAATCATATAAAACAACTGACTGGGCGTTCGTAATGTAAACGTAAATAAATGTAGATGATATTAAGTATAACGATGGACGTTTTTGCACTATCCATTCGATGAACATTCCGTATAATATGGCCACGTTCAATAGCCAGAAAAATCCGACGATCTTCACGTGATGAAATAAATTGCCATAATCAATCTTAATTCCCAGTTTCTTCAAAGTTTCGTCCACTTTGTCAATTTGCTTCACCAACGCTAATGCATTCTGAATAATAAGTGAAAAAAATTTATGAAAGAACTAACTAAATATAATAATATACAATAATAATAAATATAATAATACAATACTCCTGAGTCTCGTTTTATATATGGATGCGTATAATAATAATACAATACACCTGCGATATAATAATAATACAATACACATGAGTTTCGTGTAAAAAGTTGATATTTTTCATGAAAGATAGAAAAGGATAGCATTATATTCACAATTTTTTCCGTTCTCTTGGTACGGTCATTGTACGAAGTATGTTTTGTATTATTATTCAATTGATACATGGTTGTATTTTATCAGAATTTAGTTCAATTTTTAATTCTATCAGTTTACCATACAACTGTAAATAGAACGTATAAGAAACAAATCATATAACTGCGAATGAAACGTATTAAAAAAAAAAAAAAAAAACAATCTGTAAAACGAGACCGAAATGTATCTGGTTCCTTATTTTATTGATTTATTGTTTGAATATAGACTAATAAAAATTTTTTAAAAAGAAATAATTTATGTAGTATAATTAAAAGAATATAATTGTGGTCTAATTCGTTATTTACCTTCGACTGATATAGACCAATGATCATTGAACTTGTGTAGCCAAATGCATGGGTAACATATTGTAATAAGTATATAAAATATTCTATATTAAACCAACTCTTACTGTTATAAATTTCAATACGAAATTGAATGACTGCGATTATAAGAATCAGAGTCATGCTCCAAATCCAGCTGCAGATAAATTTGAATTGGTTTTTCCTTGGATCTATGAAATTTCGGAGTGCCGTTATGTGATTTAATATGGTTATTATTCTTGTTGCGTCCTCGTAGTTGTTCATCTTGTTCTATTTTCTGTTTATTTACAAAATTCAACATGAAAAACATTGAAAATTTTTTTCCAGTGACACTAAACTTCAAAAATTTTATGAACGACAAGTTAAAAACAAAGATGTTTTTCTTCCTCTCTTTTTTGTCGAACAGTTTGAAATGATTTCAATGTAGCAATTAATAAAATGTTGCCACAAAATTAAAAGGAATCTAACATCAATTAACTTAAAACGTATCGTAATCTGTACTCTTTATTGTCCAATAATTTTACGAGAAATTGAATAAGTTTTCGATTTTATAAAAACAGACAATCTAACGGAAAAGAAGAATGGTCGATGTTGAGCATATGTGTTAGGTTGCATTATAGAATAGAATTAAGTATTCTAATTTTAATTCTTACCATTTATTGCTTAGAAATGAAGGAATAAAACGTTCGCGTGTTAAAATTCACATTGTGTCGTTGTTAAGTAATTACAATGCATATCAAGAAATGATACGAGTAACAGTTAATAATCTGATGCTAGTTTAAAACGAACGAATACACGATATTAACGTGGCTTTCTTCTTCGTGCAACTGAATGTCATTACGGCTTGAGAGAGAGAATGTAATAACAGCTCAAGATATACTTCATGTCATCGGGATAATTGTAAAATAGAGAAAGCAATTCATTTATGCAGACGCTTTATGCGTTTTGGATGAAACATAAGTGACAGTCAAATGATATATGTGTGCAGTTTCAAATGATTACGATCACACTGATGAAAAATTACTAATACACTATGCCAATCTAAGTCTATCGAATTAACTTCTTGTAATAACGTATGTTTACGTCCTCGTTTTAGTTTACTAGTTTCATTCTATCAAAAGAAAAATTTATAAACCTTTTCCTTCAAAATTAATATTATTAATGAAAAATTAAGAATAGTGGATAATGGAGTATGGTAGGAATCACAAAATCATTATTATTTTCATTCATTATTACTATTATTTATTCATTATTATTACAATTATTTACATAACTAATAAACTACCTTACTAACGTAATTATATACTAACTGTAATTAATTATAATTATTATTTTACTTATTTATAAAAATTTAATTTATATATAATTTATATATTATTTATACAAATTTTAATTTGCATGTAATTTAGGTATTATTTATACAAATTTTAATTTATATATAATTTATGTATTATTATTTATAGAAATTTTAATTTATATATAATTTATATATTGTTTATACAAATTTTAATTTATATATAAAAAACATTTTCAGCACGTAAGTTTATTATAACGAAAAGATTCTTTTACGTGAAATTCATAAGAAATTGAAATGGCAACTTATAGATCTTTTTAAAATTAATACAAACAGAAATAAACAATAATGGGTAATACAGTAGAGTGTTTTTCATTCTATCTTTGTGTGCGTGAGGAGATCAATACTTACGTAACTGCTCATGCAACATGTAATCGAACACTAAATTTTCGATGTTCAAGAAATTACGTTATAATTTCCTAAAAGGAAATCGTACAATAATCACTCTGTGCTCGTTTTAAAGCTTAAATAAGAAGATTCTAATATATTTTTGCAGGATGGGAAAGTGAAGATACTTTTCTTCTCGAAAATGCTAAATATTGAAAACAGTAAAAAAATGATTTGGCAAAATTATACATTCTCTTCCACAAGATCTGTTGTCCTGTTAAATTTTTTGCGGAAGATTTAATTAAGAATTAATGAAATAAATTAAAGAATTGAAAATGAATGAAAAAGTGAACAAAACTCACTGTCAGGAGAGATTAACTAATAAAACAATTTTAACTATTGAATAAGTAGTTGAATAATTGAATAATTAAATATTGAATAATTGAATAACTGAAACTAGTTGAAAATCTTTTATCAAGAGGAGTAACAATAAATAACATGGATGTGTTTGTCAAGTCGACATTGATTTTTCGCAAAATGAACAGAAAAGCGTGCAATATCGTTATGTATTAATACAAACTCTTTAATTGTCTGGTGGAAAACTTTGAAAAATGAATAAATAAAGAAGAAAAATTATTGATCAAAATTTATTTCTCTTGCAACTTATTCTTTAGACAATTATATTCGATTTGTAGAATGTGTACCGCACTGATTGGAAATAAAAACATGATGATCTTAAGTTAATAAGAAAGATAAAGATAAAGTTGTTGAAAAAGAAAAGATTGTATAAATTCAGAAAGGAAATTAGGTTTATTAATAGATATGCCGAAGCAGTAGACAGCTAATATTAATAACAGCAATAGTGCATGTAAATTTTTCTGCAATGCAAAAGACTCAGTCATAATAAAAATAAGGTCAACATCACTTTAACACTTCTACTTTACATTCGAATATTTAATTTGTGAGTTTCCCATACGCGAATATAGAAAAATTCAGAGCAAGTTCTGTATATTATAAGAAAGAACTTATAACTTCCTATAACTTCTTATAATTTACATCCAAAATAGTAATTTCATAAATAAAATAAAAATTTACTTACTTATCGTACACGTTTACGAAGTAAAAGCTGAAAAAGTATTAATTAATGAAATTTCTCAAAATTAATTTAATTTTTAATGTTTATTACAATACTATTTTAGGCGATATTTTTCACATAAAAGTATCGTACATGATTTGAATATAATATTTCATTGTAATAATTTATATATATATTCAAATCGTACTCTAATCGTTGCTTAGATATCTAATTCATTAAAAAATACGGATAACATTCATTGGAAAGCTGAATGTTTCATAATCGACTATATTTTTACATTATTTAAAAGATGATCAAATTTCATAAACGACTTATTTATTTATTTATTACGTATTCCGATAAATCATAAAATTTACTTGATTTTCACATTAAAGTAAGTCATAGATAATACTAAACCAAAAATACTAAAATTAATAATTATAATTTTTGAACGAACTTGAACTTGAAATTTCATATAATGATTATTGCTTTTTTAAATTTATTATCTATCAACTAATAAACCAATTAACTTAAATAATGAGGCGAACGGTCATAAATTTTATTCATAAATGCTCTGTATTTACAAGTTTAAACACGAGACAGAAATTGCGCTATGAGTTTAATCTAATCATGCTCGTAGATAAACTTTACTCAAGCGATACGTAGCCCGCATCAAAGTGAAAATGTTAACAGTTTTTCGACCAACGAAAGCCAAGCAAAGTATGTTACGCATTATTATACAGTATGTTACGTTCATATAATAATTTTCAGTTTAAATCTAAAAAAACAACACTTTGGAAAACATGTTTAATATAAAAGTTTCATAGTTCTAAGAGTGAAGTACAACTATCATATTTGCTTTTTACGTGTTGGGCGTGTTGGTTTAGATTACTTGAAAATCAATTTTTTTTTTTTTCCAAAAGGAAAAGCATATTTTTCTTTATGAACTCTTATTCCATGATTTTAAAAGAAGGGAGAACTCTCTGTGAAACATTTTTTTATAGGACATCTATTATATTTCTTAAAATATTCGATAATATTCGGTAATACGATAGACGGTTAATAATAAACGACAGAAAGTTAAATGATATGAACGAAACCTGTTTATTTATTCTGATATTTTTAAGATGATAAGGTAAAATTAATAACGATTACTCATTTTAATTTAACTAAAATTTAATTTTAATTCTAATTTTACATTTAATAGTGAATGATGATGACACAATGTCAAAATATTCTCCATTTTGTGCTAGACAGTATAATCTCTATTCAAATTTTATTATTTTCCTTAATAAACAGAGATTGTACCAAAATCTCGTCTTGTGCGAAAACATTCATTATGCAATAAAAAAGTAACATTAAAAAAGTGTAATCATTACTGATTTCAGTTTATCAGTTTCAAAATAACCAGAACCAGTAAACAAGTTTCGTTTCTATCACTCAACTTCTTTTCCTTTATTTTATCAAATATTGTTCTAAAAAAAGATCCTATAAAAGAAATGTTTCAGAAGTTTCTCGTTTTTTACTACATCTATAAAAAAAAGTTGATCGCCAAATAATCTTTCGAAACTGTGAAATTTTTATATTAAACATTTTTTCCGAAAAAGCGTTGTTTCTGAAATATTTGGACTGAAAATTTTCAAATGAATATACTAGAGTATACAGGGGGAGTCTCGTAACGTGATGACATCAAATAATTCAAAATATTTGTTGTACGAAAAAACGTTCAAATAGAAGTTGCATGGCTTCCAAGGAGACATATAGTACTGTAATCAGTTTTATGTTATTTTGCTTTTTTATCAAAATATGAAGGTCACCTTCAATTTTTTAAATGGAATGGTTAATGTTTCTTTCCGAATTCGGATAAAGCGTTGAATTCTATATAAAAAAATATTACACCAAATAGGGTCTAAAATACATAGTTACTAAGATTAACCATCTTTTCTAATACAATGTGAAAAAATATTTTTGCTAATATCTCAGTAACTGAACAGAATTCAGTAACTGAATTTTGAAGGGCAAGATTTTAGCTTTGTGTCCTTATTAGTTACTCAGATATTAATAATAAACATTGAATTATGCCTATACAGATGGTAGTGACCCAACTATTTCCGGTGAATTGGTTAAGCTTGTACAATTGCCGTCATTATAGTAATCGTCCCCGGCAACTAACAATTGACAAAAGTGACAAGTAGCGGACGACGTAATAAAAATAATTGTCCTCGGTGTCTATAGGGTGTTCCATATAAAATCCGACATAGACGACATTTCACATACTGGATTTTACTGACAACTTCTCTCACATATCTAACTAGTGGCTGGCTAACAAATTAAAAAATATAATCCAATCCAACACTGATATAATAATTATTATGATGGTTGGGCCATGCTTCGACGTCGGTCTTTAACTAGAAAACCCTATAGATACTGAGAACAATATAGCTATTACATTCGCGGGTTACTCCAGTGCAACGCTGTCTAACAATAAAATTACGTCCTAACTACCGGCGATAAAAATCGTCGTCGTATGATTGACTTACTTATCGGTCAGACGACAATGTAACATTGTTCATGTACGACTGGCTGTCTTGATTAGGATGAACAAATGTTCCAATTTTTCAGGATTTTTCCCTATTGTTGTTTCAATGTTTCGATGTCTCCAAAATGAATTTTGGGGATCGCTATAATGTTCGGATTTTCAAATATTCATAATTTTTAGACTTCACTTACTAATTTACACGACCGTTGTGCTTAAATGTTGAATTTGTATCATTCGTATTATCATAAGGTAATGTGATATTAAGGTTCAAAAAAGAAATCGTTCAGTTGTATAAATGTTCATGATGTATAAAAAGTACAGATATAAGAATAATATATGTATATAACGGGTAATTATGTATAAAAAAGTACACCTTACCAATTTTAATGAAATTTAAATATGTTGTAAAACTCAACATCCTCAGTAACTTTTCCCTATACATACCGCTCGGCTTTAGTTTCTGAGATATTTGCGACAAACTGTTCTTACTACTTCAATGAACTTTGCCTATCCCTGCGCGTTCGTGGCAGCGTTTGTCAACTGCTTATTTACTGTTTCTATAAACACATCGCGGAAACCACTATAGTATAAGATGCGAACTTCTTAAAACAAATAATGGAGCTGAGGTACTTAAACTATGGACAAGGTACGGTTTAGGGCACCATTATTATGCAATGTAATAGAAGAATTTATAGTGGAGTGACGAGAAGAGCTGCGAAGAAAGCGGCGTATATTAGCGGCACGGCTAGAATCAAAAAAGTTTGTTTCTACTAGCGGGGACCAACGCGATCGGCAACATTCGGATGCATTCGGTAGCATTCGGCAGCATTCAGCAGCATTCAATTGAAGATTGAAGTGTGAGCGAATGTTAATATCGCCCTGAGAGTGAGAAGACTCTCCCGCCTATTTCGTAGAAGAGAGGTTTCAAGGACCATGGGCTGATACCGGTGTTTATAAACCAAGCTGGATAAGAGTTGGATCGAAGAAGATACACGAACGCGAGAACGAAGGCAGGCGGCATTTGATCTGCAGAACGTGGGAGAGATTGGACGTCCGGGCCAGTCGTCAAGTGAAATATACAGTGACTCTCATTAATTTTCGGACATCATGCTATTCAAAATATTGTTGTGGAATTCGATTGTTTATAGCGGTAAGTTTGGATTAATTTTTTAATAATATTATATATTAGAACATTCATTATAGTTTATAGTAACATAAATTTCATTTATTTATTGCACATACTTTTCTTAATATGAAAAAATGAATGAAGTATGTATGTCGAAAATGTAGCGTGGCAAAAATATTCGGACATTTGAAGAACTATAATATTTAAACCTAAAAATTATTAACATAAATAATAATTAATATTTTGTTGGCTAGCCTTTATCTTTAATTACGTATCGCAAACGCGTAGGCATATTTCCAAATTAATCGTTGTTTTAACTCCCCTCTCGATTTTATTGGTGTTCGAATTTTCCTGTCCAAAATATCCCATACGTTCTCGATGGGATTTAAGTCTAATGATTGTGGCGGCAAATGTAATATTTGAGGACAATTATATAGCAGATATTCTTGAACTATTCTAGCTTTATGCTTGGAGTCATTATCTTGATAATATTTAAATGGGCGTACAACATCCATTGCGGTTGCACTTTTCTTAAGATTATGTTGCAAAATATTAAGATACTTGTTTTTATCTAAAATTCCTACAAAAAAAAACCAACTGCCCAACTTCTTTTGATGAAATGCACCTCTAATACTTCATCGCCGTGTTTTATGATCGGATTTAAATTTATACAACTTAACGCTTTATTTCGTTTACGCCATACTAATTTACGCTGCTAAATATGTTAAATTTACTTTCATCGGCGAAAATTACATCATTCCACCAAGTTTTTTCTGTATAAACATATTGATTAATCGAAAAATGGAAGAATATTCAGCTAAATTACTTTAAAAAAATTACTAGAAATATCTCTAAGCGTCTGTGATATGTAATTGAAGTTAAGGGCTACCCAACAAAATATTAATATTAATTCTTGTTTATGTTAACAATTTTCAGGCTCAAATATTATAGTTCTTCAAATGTCCGAATATTTTTGCCACGCGACATATTTCAGTTTATTGCTTCATACTAAGAAAAGTATGTGCAATAAATAAATAAAATTTATGTACTTGCTTTATGTATTTACTGTAAACTATAATGAATGTTCTAATATATTATTAAAAATTAATGCAAACTTACTATTATAAACAATCGAGATCCACAACAATATTTTTAATAGTATGATGTCCGAATATTAATAAGTCACTGTATGTTTTATTATTGACGGGCAATACTGTGTAAAATTATTTCCTACAAAAGTATTTATATATCTATTATTTCTGTTTTTTTAAATTAATTTATTATTTATTAACTGCATTTTTTTATATCTTTCCAGCTAATAATGCAACATAAATAGAATAATAAATAATTAACTTTAATATTTATTTTCTTTACTAATTTGAAATCATCCTGAAGAAATTTACACGAAAAGGAAAGATTGATCAAAGTGAGTTTGGGTTAGATATTTGAAAAAAAACTTATTCGCGTTCCAGTCACTTCGACATTTTTCGACTTCGTCTATCTACGGGATTACTTTGCAGGAATTCGTTCAACAACTCAAGAAAATTATCAAGGATGTGCATTTTGATAGCCAGCGGATACACAGAGCAATTGAAAGCGTAGAGGATCGACCAAAGCAGAATTGGTACGATACACCCTGCGGGTGGAACACCTACGACTCTGTGATACGGCAGGCCACAATTTTCATGCCAAATATGTCAGTTAAAATTACGGTTGTGCGTAGTTATCGTAATACTTTTTATGAAAATTGTATCTACAGTATTTCTACTTAGAGGATTAACACGATGATGTGTAAGTATAC